CTAGAAAGGCTTAACAGAGGGAAGAACTGTAAGCATTCTACTATTACCTAGTGCTAATCAATAACACTTACACAATGCTATTACAGTGGACTTCATAACAAAACGAAAAAAAAACCTCTAACTGTAGATCACACAAAAACCCAGATCCAAACTGCTTAAGAGCCACTTCTTTTTTTAAGACTTTTATGCCTCCGAGTGTTTCAACTGCTTGTGTTATTTTAAGTTGTTTAGCTTTTTTATACAAAACACAACAACAACAACAACAACGGACAGACAGTCCTTGCTCAGTGACGTGAGAGATTCCTTCAAAGTCTTCTCCAGGCTTGCTCAAATTTTCAAAAAGACTGACCTTAACCAAGATCCTTTATTAGATCTGTAAGTCAATTTAAGAAAAGTTAGACTTCTCCACAAAGTATGCTTATAGCTAAGCACACTTTCAGTTTCCTAAAATTCAGAGAAGAAAAAGTGCCTTCTCAGATAAATCTTGCCTTATTTTGCTGCGAGATTTAGTATTGGAATTAAACAGACTCCTTGGGCCACAGCCACAGCTAATATAGAAATACTGCTGGAGCTAAATGAGCCTGTCAGCTTCCTGTTTTAGCACAGCAGGTAGTGCAAGAATGCTTGCTATATTTGAATGACTGGTAAGAGCAACACATGAGCAACTGCCCTGCTCCTTTGTAACATCAAAAAATGAATTTCATTACACATTCTCTCTCTTCTGGGAAAGTAAAACCTCTTTATAGGTATCTTTACAATGACATCTCAAATACAATAAGGATGCTAGAAGATACTGTTTCATATGTATAACAAACAGACTGCTCAGTACTGTGTGGTTAGAAACAGTCCAGCAAAGGGCACCTGGGTTGCTCATTCAGTTGAGTGTCTGAGTCTTGATCTCAGCTTGGGTCTTGATCTCAGGGTTGTAAGTTGAAACCCTCTGTTGAAAAAGCCCTGCTTTAAAAAATAAATAAACCCAACAAGCCATTACCCTGCTTAGTACAACTCTTAGATATTCTTTAGAAAGACTATCCAGGATAAATGAGATCCCATTATATATTTTAACTATCATTTCACTGTGAAAGCCCATAGAATACAAACTTCTAGAGAAACAACCTACTGTATAATGCCTTGGGTTTAAATAACAGTCTACAAAGCACTTTCAATTTACCAGCTCATATGAAGTTGCATTCCCGTTAAGGAACCAATTTTACCACCAGGCTGGTAAGCCAAAGGCAACTGATCTCAACCACAGAAATATTCATAGAATGCCCAGAGTTGTACTTACTCTAGTCTATTTAGCACTTATAAATACTCCTTAAGTTGTGTTATTTGTCCACTTCCACACTTTGTGTCCATCCCATTTCAGCCCCACATTTAGACAATTACCGAGCGTGCTGACCTGACCCTTCTGACTAGTTTACGTCACACTGTCTCTTCTCCTTAGTGTTTTCCGGTTCTGAATTTCTCCGTTAGTTCCATTCTGGGCAAACTCCTCCTTTAAATCACAAGAACCCTCTTTTTCCTCCATTGTCTTCTAGCTTTTGTCCCAGTTACCTAAGAAGAATCCTTCTATCTCTCTGAGTTTCAGTTTTGAGCCAAACAATAAGCCCAACCTTGAACCCTGGGTATGAGCAACAACCCTCTGAACCTGAGGAAAGAAAAATCTTAGGTGGTGAAGTAAAATAAGAAAAGTACCCCTAGTGCCATTAATCTTGGAAAGCCTTAAAAATACTAAAGCATTCACCTTTTCACGTGTCATCACTGGGTGATGACCAAATGATGGAAACATGAAGATGAAAGTGTCATAACCCCTGCTGTCAAGTTCTTCTGAGTATACTAAGGAAACAGTCCCATCCAAAGCTCTCTACCAAGTTCTCATCCTCATTCATAAATTAGGCTGTTTTCCCATCAAAACATATTTTTAAAATGTGTTCACTTGTATTGTTTCCTTCAATCGGACAACTAGTATCATAACTATAGTTATTTCGTCTTGCTGATTTTCATTCCACATGGCAATTAGAGTATGAGCCATGCTGTTCATGTGGGATATAAACAGACAGACGGGCAAGCCCAGGGAGCCTAACAACCAAGGATAAAGCAAGCAACACAGTGCCAGGCTCATGTAAGAACCCATTAAGGGTTGACTCTTCAACCCCTTCCTAGTTCAAATCACAAAATTTACATTCAATCTTGTTTTGAAGATATGACTTTACCATCTATGGCCCTTGTTCTTAGGGAGCAAATATACCCGGAAGGATTCATGAACAAGACAATATATTAGAGGATGATAATTGTTCAGCATAGAAAACAAGTGCAGGAACTGGGAGGAATATAGCTGACATGAGATTGCAGGTCCAAATCACAACTGACAAGAATAATACAACTTCAACCTCCAGGTACCTGCCTGTCCTCTCCAAATAAATGAATGAACAAACCAGTGGATGAATGAATTAACTAATGAATGAACACAGTTCAGGGTCAGTGACACGGACTAGATAACCAAGTACACAATATATGGTTGCTAATATTGTTTATGTGCTCAGGGCTCAGTCCTAAAGGATATCTCATCTAGAGTTCAAAATAAATCTCAGAAATGGAGATTAATGTCCTCATCTTATAAATGGTAAAAGTCTCCCAAAGTAATTTGTCCAACGTTACCCAGCAGATGGCAAAGTGGGATCTGAATTCAAATATTCTAAATTCAATGCTCCTTTCACCTCATCATAGCTGGTATTTCTTTCTTTTAGCAGATATGCAATACTTTATGGAGAAAGAAACATTCCAATAAAATTGGCAATGAGGCAAATTTCTTAAACGCTGAAACTATTCTCACTTTGGCTTCTCATATAAACTTTGAAATGCTTCTTTAGTTAGTGGAGGGAATATGCAAATATATGAACTGAAAATTGTGCTTAAGTATTTCTAATCACTTCAAATTATACTTCTATGTGTTAAGTTTCATAATGCCTGACAATAGCGCTGTGAAAATTTTCCCAGCCAAATCTTTCTTCTATTATCCTATCCTTCCTCACATACAAGAACTTTTCCCGTGTTAGTAGAATCCCGAGCGCTTTCCTTACAGGTAATATAAAGTACCTAACTCTGCAAATCCTATGTCTGAAGTTCCAGGGTATAGTACACAAACTGCCTCCTAATGCGATCAACTTTGTACTTTTAACATTTTTTTATATTAAATTTACTTTACAATATGGACCAGAACGATAGCCTTCCTTATACTCTACCCCTGAAGAAAGGATCAAAATATTTTGGGGGGCACCTGGGTGACTCAGTGGTTGAGCACCTATCTGCCTTTGGCTCAGGGCATGATCCCATATCGGGATCCTTGCAGGGAGCCTGCTTCTCCCTCTGCCTATGTCTCTGCCTCTCTCTCTGTGTCTCTCATGAATAAATAAATAATATCTCTTAAAAACTTATATATAAATATTTGGAACATCTCAGAGTAGTCTTTATAACTTAGGAGTCAGTGAACACAATCCTCCATCTCCTAAGAAATGACTACATGATAGATTCCAAAATCATTTCCTAAAGAACAGTATTACTGCTAGTCACCACAACCAACTGACAACAGTTTTTCATTCATTCAGTAAATACATAGTAAGCACTAGACCCAAACAGTCACTGTTCAAGATCCTGGGGATACACACTGAGACAAAACAAGACCCCTACTCCCATGGAGGTTACAGTCACCTGAGGTACAACTATAAGAATGCATAAGCAAACAAACAACTATATTGAACAGTGCTAAGTGCTATGCAGAGAACTCAAATCTGGTGATATTACAGACTTAAACTGGGTCATCAGGGAAAACCTCTCAAAAGAGTGAATTTAAGCAGAGATGTGACTAGTAAGACTATTGTGCAAAAATCAAGTAGGAAAGCATTCTTGGTGGAGGGTACAGCTAGTCCAAAAGCCATAAGGCAAGAACAAGCAAGGTATATTTAAGAATAAGAAAGAACAGGGGCGCCTCAGTAGTTCAGTAGGTTGAGCATCCAACTCCTGACTTCAGCACAGGTCATGATGTCAGGGTCCCGAGATGAGCCCCATGGGGCTCCAGGCTCAGTAGGCAATCTGCTCCAGATTCACTCTCTCCCTTTCCCTCTGCTCCTGCCCCCCCACCCTCCCCAGCTGTGCTCACATGCTCTCTCTCTCTCTTCTCTCTCTCTCTCAAATAAATAAATCTTTAAGAATAAGAAAGAATCACAATACGTCTTGGAAGGTAGCAACCTCAAAAAAGAATGGTAGAAGTTCAGCTAGGAAATGGGTCAGACCATCTCACTCTGTAAGCCAAGGAAATATATCTGGATTTTATTTTCAGTGAGATGGAAAGCCACTGAAGAAAGCCACATAGTGTCTGAAGTTAAATTCACTGTATATTCACATATATTAAGTCCACGTATTTGTTTCTATACCCTGAACTCAATGAAATTTATCCCAAGACACTGAAACAGAATCTTAGAGCTAGAAAGAATCTTAAAGAATATAAAGCTATCACTGTACGTGTACCAAAAATGAGGGCCTAAGAAAAAAGTATCACTTACGTTGCTTCATTAATGGCTGAGACAAATGTCTCCAAAAATATGTAAGGGCAACTAAGATGTCTGGGATGTATCCTAAACTCCAAGCTGACATTAATTAGAAAATTGTCCTTTTATGTGTTCGCGAACTGCAACACCATGCATTACATGCATGTGACCCATCACAGAATTTAAGTTTTCGTGTCAGTTTCCGACCTCGGTCTAAAACTGGTAATTTGGGGATCCCTGAGGGGCTCAGCAGTTTAGCCCCTGCCTTTGGCCCAGGGCGTGATCCTGGAGACCCGGGATCCAGTCCCACATCGGGCTCCCTGCATGGAGCCTGCTTCTCCCTCTGCCTGTGTCTCTGTCTCTGTGTGTGTGTGTCTCTCATGAATAAATAAATAAAATCTTAAAAAAAAATAAAAAGAAAAAGAAAACTGGAAATTCAAGTAAGGCACTTACCCATCAACCTGTTGGATCAATTGCATTGTTCCAATCCCAACTGACTGGGTACCCCACCACTTGGAGATTCCTTCATCCAGTGAATGGAAAGGAACTGCTACTATGTGCAAGAAATCAAACTGGAAAACAAAGAACTAGAGTTGCAACAAAAATTCATGCAAGGTAAAATCTGCCAAAGTGCCTCTCAGATAAGTGCTCTGAAAGGTGCAGGGAACAGCACTTTGAGCTGAAAGGATCAGCAGGCAGCAGGCAAGCTGGTCCCTGAAAGAGGAGTAGGATTTACAGATGGGGAGAACATTCTAGAACAATAGGCACAGGAGCAAAAGACCTAAGTAAATTGCAACCAGGCCCTTGAGACAAGAAATACAGGGTGTTAAACTTAGAGCAACTATTTCCAATATGAAAGCACTCAAAACTGAGCCACACTTAAATGACACGCATCAGGTCAGTAAAAGAAGAGTCTTGCGTCTGTATTTACCATCTTAATTAACACGAAAACCTTTTATAATATAAACAAAGTTAAGCCTGGGTCAGACTATTACATCTGTTTTCTAAAAAAAGAATTCAATAGGATTTCAAAGATCTTTGAAAGCTTGCTTTTCAGGAAACGTTAAAAGAAATGGAATATCGCTTAGGCGGCCTGGTGCAATAGCTGTAAAGGTGCACATTTTAAGAAAAGGTGTTACCACGCAAAGTGCTTTAAATTCAGCATCCAAAATCTCAGAACATAGAGTACATGAGAAGGTGCTATCCACACTACAGTATAAAGTGCTATTTGAAGACTAATCTATTCTACTGTTTTTCTTGAATAATATCCTGCATGACTGCTCCTAGCTACGATGAACTTCCTGCCCTTTTGGAAAAGCATTTTTTTAGGAAATTAATCCACTTGAAAGCTAACAAGCAATAACAGAATTTGGGGTTTTTAAAAATCACGTTAGAAGTTCATTCTATTTTCAGTAAATCACAGAACTACTTCAGCATTCTCCTACCCGACTGAAGGACAGAGCATCAAAAAGTCAATTACCAAAGCTAACCAGTAGGTGCTATTTCTAATGCGTTTGTTTTCTCCCTGTCTTTCTGAAAATTCATTTTTCATTGCAAGAATTGGTTGCCTAGGGGACGTTTTCCTTCCTGACGTGGTCTAATATAGAGTACCGTGGAAGTCCCTGACCTTTATCCTTAAATGGCACAGGCTCAACGCAGTGAAGGTCAAGTGACCACAGATGGCAGGAGTGGGCAAGTCGAACAATGAAACTCAGGCACCCCATAAAAGGTATTTTCTTTTAAAAAAAAATATCTTACTTATTTATTCATGAGAGACATGGAGAGAGAGAGAGAGAGAGAGAGAGAGGCAGAGACACAGGCAGAGGGAGAAGCAGGCTCCATGCAGGGAGCCCCATGTGGGACTCGATCCCGGGTCTCCAGGATCACGCCCTGGGCCCAAGGCAGGTGCTAAACCCCTGAGCCACCCAGGGATCCCCTAGAAGGTATTTTCACTTGGAAAACTATACATGACACAAGAGCAGCAAGGGTATCCTTGTTTATTAAAGTCCCTTTTTTCTTACTATTTTAAATTCCACACGATTCATAGTTCTCTGAATCTGACGGGCACTTCCACAGCTCTGGGGCTTTGGCAGGACCACTCTCTGCAGCCCCAACTCAGAACCATGGACTTCCCGTCATCCAACGAGGTTCAGCAGCTCCCACTGCCTTGCCCTGCTCCTCCACTTTGCACTCTCAGAAGCTGCTCCCATGTGGTAGACTCCTCATTTGGCCTGAGTCTTACAAACTTGTGTATCTCTCCCACTACAGTACCTGTCACAACGTCCTATGCGGAGGAGGCATTCAAGAAATTATTTTTTTTAAGAAATTATTTTTTTAAAAAGAAAACTGAGCAAAACACATTTACCAAAAAATAGGATCAAACGAGGTGGTAAATATGAACGTCGTCGTAGGTAATCAAGCTGTTCAGAAGAACGTGCCAAGCAAGTATCTGAAACATTTTTAGCAGATTCCACAGTCGCACAAAGTACAGAGTTGGGCCTGGGCTCCCGGCGGCCTCCCCGCGACGTGTCCTCACCTCTGCCGAGGAAGGAGGCCGGTGCTCCCTGCAGCTCCTGAGGAGCCGCTCTAGACTCGGTGGCCTCTCTTGCCTTCACTGCTACAGAAAGAGTGAGCACCCCAGGGCTTAGGAACAGCAAGTATCAGTCCCATTAGAACCCACTTAGATCTTCCTGCAAGGGCCAGTCCCACTAGGAGGGTCCGAGGTCCCCATTTCCCCCATCTTCTCACAAAAATAGCAGAGGTAGGTGTCTCTCCATATGCTTCTCCTTCTACCTTCCTTTATGACTAAAATGTACCTAAAACCACACTGAAAACAGAAGCCCGACATCACTAGGGCAAACCGCCTCGGGGCCCCTCCATTCTACACCTGGTGCCACCCGGCCCTCATGGGCCGCACAGCTTCATATTCTCTCTCTCTTATAAGCTCAAATGAGCAACAATCCTATACAAATTAACAGAGGTATGTGTGGGATAGGCCAGACCTAAAGTTGCCGAGAAAGGACCTTACAGCACTTTCTTCCTTAGAAACTCCCCAGTTTCCCAGTAGGACTTCTGCTTCTTGCTGGTTCTGCTGCGGCGTTGGTAAGGGGCCACTTGTGGGCAAAGGGGCACGCGCGCACACGCACACACACACACACACACACGATTATTCAACCTACTTTTAAACAACGTAGTATACAAAGGTGTGCTCCAAACTACAAATTTTTAAATGTGTACTGAAAAAGAAACGTTCGCAGCTTTAAAACCCTACAACGGCATTTCTAGGGAGAAAGAAATCAAATCCACTTACCAATAAGCATACGAGTCTCCTTACGAGATAGTCAATTGACTTCTTAAAATCACAGGGCTTGGGGACTAGAGGTGTCTTGGGGACAGATTTCCCTAAACCAAGGAAGACAATCATGGAGCCTGCTTCTCCCTCTGCTTGAGTCTCTGCCTCTCTCTCTCTCTGTCTCTCATGAATAAATAAAAATAAAAACAAAAAATAAAAAAACAGCAGAAGGCCACCGTCTTCGAGGGGAGGGCATCCCCGGGCTGAGCAACACCTGCGGAAAGGGCCGATGACTGCGGGGTCCAGAATCCTACCCGCCTCCCAGGAGACCGGGGAGCAAGTGCAAACATGACCCCGAGGTCAGGTCCAGACGCTCAAGCCCCCGAGGCCCGGGGCGGTAACAAGGGGGAGCCGCGGGGAGACGCACACGCACGGGCAGGGCGGGGGGGGGGGGGGGCGCGCAGCAGGTGGGGGCCCGGACGACCGCGGCGCGTTCTCGGCAGGGATCTGAAGGTCCGACCACCGAGCCCCACGAACGAGCCTCCACTTCACGAGGTCGCGGGAGCCTTCCCTGGAGACGCCGTCGTGCTCGCGGGCGCAGCCGGGGCTCCCTGGGACCGCCCGGGGCTGCTCTGGCCGGCGTCGGGGCGCGGGAGGGGCGGGGGCGGAGGCCGCAGGGACGGGGGGCGCGGGGGGGGCGCGGGGGGCGCAGGGGCAGGGGGTGCAGGGGGCGCAGGGGCAGGGGGTGCAGGGGCAGGGGGTGCAGGGGGCGCAGGGGCAGGGGGTGCAGGGGGCGCAGGGGCGGGGGGCGCAGGAGCAGGGGGCGCGTGGGCGGGGGGCGCGGGGGGCGCAGGAGCAGGGGGCGCGGGGGGCGCAGGGGCGGGGTCAGCGGGGTCCCTGTGGCCCCGACAGCCCGGCCCAGAGCGCCGCCGCCCGGGGAGGCCGCGGGGTCCGACCGCACTGGGGGCGGGGGCGGGGCGGGGCGGGGGCGGGGGGGGGGGCCCTGGCGGCGTGTGCGCGGCGCGGCTCCACCTCCGCGGTCGCGGCCCCCGCCCCCGCCCCGCCCCGCCCCGCCCCGAGCGCCCCCCGCGGCCCCGAGCGCGCGGCCCCGGGACTTGCAGGAACTTTCGGGTCCGGGCGGGGGAGGGGCGGGCGGCCGTACCCGAGCTCCAGTTGTCGTTGATCCTCAAGGGCACGCGCAGGACGTAGACGAGGAAGAGCACGAGGAAGAACCACACGGTCCACAGGTACGTCCAGGACCAAACTACGCAGGACTTGAGCTGCTCCAGCAAGCCCGCGCCCGCTTCAGCCATTTTCCAGCGCCGCCCTCCGCCGCCGCGGCCTCGGCGTGCGCCGCGATGATTCACCGGCCCCGCCGCCGCCGCCCGCCCCGCCCCCCCCCGCCCCGCCCCGCGGCCCGGGCGCCCCCGGAGCCAGCCCCAGCCGGGCACGCGGGCGCGGCCTCCCTCCCGCGGCGCCCCGCCCTGCACGCGGCCCGGGCACGGTCGCGGTCGCGGTCGCGGTCGCGGTCGCGGTCGCGGTCACGGTCACGGTCACGTGGCCCTGCCCCTCGTCCCGGCCCGTGTGCGCTGCTTGTGCGAAGATCTGGAGACGCGGGCACGCCCGGCGCAGTCGTAGGGCGCGTGCGAGGAGCCCGGCCACCTGCCTGCCCGGCACTGCCCCAGCTGCGTGCAGCCCCTGCCACAGCCCCGTCCTGTGCACGGGGAAACTGAGGCACCGGTGCGAGGAGCCCCGCCACCTGCCTGCCCGGCACTGCCCCAGCTGCGTGGAGCCCCTGCCACAGCCCCGTCCTGCGCACGGGGAAACTGAGGCACCGGTGCGAGGAGCCCCGCCACCTGCCTGCCCGGCACTGCCCCAGCTGCGTGCAGCCCCTGCCACAGCCCCGACCTGTGCACGGGGAAACTGAGGCACCGGTGCGAGGAGCCCCGCCACCTGCCTGCCGGCACTGCCCAGCTGCGTGCAGCCCCTGCCACAGCCCCGACCTGCGCACGGGGAAACTGAGGCACCGGTGCGAGGAGCCCCGCCACCTGCCTGCCCGGCAGTGCCCCAGCTGCGTGCAGCCCCTGCCACAGCCCCGACCTGCGCACGGGAAACTGAGGCACCGGTGCGAGGAGCCCCGCCACCTGCCTGCCGGGCACTGCCCCAGCTGCGCGCGACCTCATGGACCCCTCTCACAGCCCCGTCCTGTGCACGGGGAAACCGAGGCACAGAGCCGTCGAGCCGTTCGTGACCCTGAAGCCGGAGTTCAGCTGCGGACTGATGGATGCGCACGGCCGGCCGCGGGGCCTCAGGCTCCAGGCCGCACCCCCTGCTCTCAGGACTCGGGCTCCAAGGGACAGACCAACCCCAGGCCCCCGGGAAACAGATGTGCTCCCGTCCCTGCCTAGCAGCCCCGAAAATAGATCACGCTCTGAAGCGAGATGTCCGATGCACACACTGGGCGCTTCCTCCGGCCTGTCTTCCTCGGAGCAGCACAGGGGCTTCCCAAAGAAATCTTGGCAAAAAGGATGTTTATCCTCTCGGGGGTTTTTTGGGAGGGAGGGGAAAGGGGGTGATCACAGTTCACACAACTCTCAGATTGTTTCTGATTTTAATTCTCCGGGATAATTTTGGCTTAATCTGAACGGGTCGCATTAAGCGAGATTATTGCAAGCGTTTACGTCTGGGCCGCAGAAAATGTTGCCTTTACGAAGTGAAAGTTAAAAGTCCGTTTCTGGCCTTAAATGTTTTTTCACTTTCTATGCATTCGATGCAAATAGAGTAGTTAGAGGTTCCGGGATCGCCAGCCAAGACATTTTTAGAATTCGGAGTATTCAGGAGAATGTTTTATTATAAATTTTTGCTTTGCCTACTTGTAGTTTCCCCCATAATAAAACAAGCTCCCGGGATCCCTGGGTGGCGCAGCGGTTTGGCGCCTGCCTTTGGCCCAGGGCGCGATCCTGGAGACCCCGGATCGAATCCCACATCGGGCTCCTGGTTCGTGGAGCCCGCTTCTCCCTCTGCCTGTGTCTCTGCCTCTCTCTTTCTCTCTCTGTGACTATCATAAATAAATTTTAAAAAATTTAAAAAAAAAAAAAAAGCTCCTTTACCTTTTTGCCTGCCGGGCCTGTGCCGGGATCCAGACTTCGCTAATTCCAGGACTAACCAACACGAGTACCTGAACCATCCACTTTATGTTCCGATTAAGTTAACCCCCCGATTCTCTGCAGTAGAGTTGCCTGCTTGGTTTAAATGAGCGTCGCGGGGCCTCGCCTCTGCTGTCAGGGACCCTCCAAGAAGGGACACAAATGTGGCTCTCGGAGGGCCGGCCCGCCTTACCCATTATTGCTTCTCTCTGGCGGGCGCCAGGGATGGGGTTTGGAGTTGGAGACGTGTCTTTGTTGTCGGCCACCAGAAGGGAGGGATGAGGATCCGTTCGGGAGCGTGGCTGCTTCAGCGCGGCTGGAGTGCGGGCTCCCTGGGGACGGTGTCAGGACACATGAAGCCGGAGAAGGTCTGATTGGGAAGGGCCCTACGGAAACACAGAGGCGTTGCCTGCTCTCTGGCACTGCGCCCACGGACCCAGGTGACCAATTCAGAGATGTACGTAAGTGGGGAGGGACGTACAATTGACAGGCCCTGGGGACTGATGGCAGGGTAACGATGAGAGGTAAAGGGTGGCTCTTGAGTGGGACCATTCATGAATTAGTGACAACCAGCTGTGTCTCGCCTCCTCTTGGCCGCCTCCCAGTGGAGTGAGCCACAGTCACCCCAAGTATATCACGTCCAGAACTCACCTCCAACGGCTTCTTCTAGAAGTCTCAAGAATGAGCACCATCCCTCCAGCTCCCTAATTCCGAAATCCGAGGATCAGCCCACCCAGAGGGGACGGGGGTCCCTCTACGCACCTTTCCTCCCAGTCAACTGGGCCTCAAAACGTGAGGTCCTGTCTCGGGTCTGTCACTACTCTCGATTCTCCTGCAGCAGCGGCCTGCGGTGTCTCATAACCTCCGCGTCTGTCCCAGGGGGCAAGCTGGGACGACCTGCCTCCAGGTTCTTCACAGGCAGCACCGGCACCTCCGTCCCCACACCCGCTCATCCCCCCCAGGCCACCTTCTTCCACACTTCTCGGCCAGAGTAGCCCTTAAAAGTACAAATCTGATAACTCGTTCCCTGCTTAAAAGCCCTTCAAGGCCCCACGGACTCACTGCTACTCCACCAGAGCCCCCCAAAGGACAGTCTCGGGGCGCTCAGGGCCGTCCTCCCAACCTAGGCAGCCTCGCCTCCGCCCGGGCAGGGCGCCCTCCCTTCCTCCGGGCCTGGGCACACGTCCTCCTGCTTCACGGCTTCCAGCTTCTCCCCCTGCCACGCCTGCCCGGAAACAGCTTACTAAGGGAGGCACTGGGACCGTCACCTCCTTCAGGACGCCAGCTCCCTCCCGCCGAGCCGCCGAGCCGCCGAGGCCAGCACCGCCCCACGGCCTCGGCCCTGGGCTCTGTTCTTGCTGCTGCTGCTCCCTGCGCCCTGCTCCTTCCAAGTCACCGAGGTTCCCCTGTTCAGGGTTTCCCTTGGACCTATGACGGGTCAGTGTGTCTCCTGTGAACGGAGGCCTTTAGGCCTTTAACGTTAGGTAGCAGGCCACTGTGGTTCTCCCCGGCATCTTGACCTCCCGGTGCGGAGCCTGCACGTTAGGCGCAGGCTCCGAGCTCAGTAAGGACTTACTGGGTATTGAACAAACGAATGGAAATCTACTATATGAAGAGAAATTCCAAATGTTATGGCTTCCAAACAATACTAATGTCAGATGTAATTCGGGGGTAAAACTTAGGATCTGGCCTTCCACCATATGGCGAGCTTATTTTGAAAGTTTGCTTCAGGAGATGTAACTACCTGTGGGCGGTATAATAAGAGTGAAATGACCATGAATTTATGAGGATCATGTAAGACCAGTCTGCTCCCAAATTCCTCACGAATTGGTTTATGTGTTTGATTACAAAGTATATCATAGTCTGATAAAATATCCGAACTAAGAAACCAATATATTAGGGAAGACCTTTAAAAGTGCTTTGAAATTACCTCTCTGTTGTTTCTTGTTCTGTTTTGTGTGTGGCGGTTAGGAGTGCACGTGCATAGGCTGTCTAGCCTTTCGCTGTGTACTTTGTTGGAAGTCTAAGAACCTATTTTCAGAAGTGATTTTCAGAGTTCATCTGAGATCTCAATCCCTGTTCTCGATCTGGCAACCCTGCTTCTGGGTATTTATTCGAAGAAAATGAAAACACCAGTCCAAAGATAGACACGCACTCCCGCGTTCTTCACCGCAGCAGCATTATTTACAATGGCCAGGCTAAGGGTCCGTGAGTAGGTGAATGGATCAAAAAGATGTGTGTGTGTGT